ACAGTCTGTTGATCTCATTGTGATCAAGATGTATCCATTGGAACTGGGCTCCCCACAGTCTGTTGATTTCATTGTGTCCAATCATGGCTTTCTGCAGTGGTCTCTGCTTGCTGTGAACAGAGATTACTGTGATGAGGAGTGGTGGCTACACTTATATGTGGGTTAAGGGTCAGATGAAATGCACTAGCAAAGTGGCAACAGTAGATTCTTTCCTAAGGTCCATGACCTCACTAGCCCTCCTGGAACCTAGCTAGGTTTTCAGGACCAGATATGATTTCCTTCCTGTTGAGTGTCCAATTAGATAGCTGGTGATTGCCACAGACATGTGACTGATTATTTACCAGAGTGTTGTTGGCATTTTAGTTGGATTCATTGCGATTTCTGGACTCTTCTGTACTATTCCATCAAGCAGTGTGGCTATCTTTATGACAAAATTACTTTATTCTGATTACTTCAGCTTTGAGTAAATTTTTGGAATCTGAATACATAAGAACTCTAATTTTGTGTCTTGAAATTTTGTCTATTTAGGGGCTCTTGTGATTTCATGTGAATTTTGAGGTGGACATTTCTATATTTGCAAATCATCTTTTGGATTGTGACAGACAATGTACCAAACCTCTGGGTAATTTTAGACACTATTGACATCTTAATGATAATGAGTTTTCCAATGTAAGCATGGTTGTCTTTCTGCTATTTGTGTTTTATTAATTCATTTCACTGGTGTTGTATTGTTTCCAGTGTTTTTCGTTTGCTTCCTAGGTTAAATTTGTTCCTAAGTGTTTGATTCTTTTCAGTGCTGTGGGAATTGTTTCTTGCTTTCACCTCTGGATTGTTCATCGTTAGAACATAGACACACAAACTGCAGGCTTGTAATCATAGCCCCAGGGAGATTACGGTAGGAAAAGTACAAGTTCAAGACCAGCATGGATTATATAATTTCCAGGCCAACCTGTGCTACACAGCAAAATCATTGTTAAAAAAATGAAATTGTGTCACTGGTTGAAATGACTTCTTTTTATTTATGATTTTTTGTTTGGGTCTTTTCCTCTGCATTTAGCTGAAGGTGAATTTGATCCTTTCAAAATGTCAACTCTTTATTTCTTGCATCACATGTTTTTTAATCTGTCACTCACTGCTACTGTGTTATTGCTCACTTTTCTCTACAAAATTAGCTTTTTGTGCTTTTTCTCTTAACATTCTGCTTCCTTGATGTCCAATCCTTGGTTCTTTGTTTGCGATCTTTTGCCTGTTCTCCTTTTTCCCTCCTCTCCTCTTCCCTCTCCCTCCCCCTTCCTCTTACTTCCCTTCCTTTTTCTCTGAGACAGGATCTCACTGTGCACTCTGGGCTGCCCCCAGACTTGCAATCTTCCTGCCCCGGCTTCATCTTTCTTCCTTTTTGATGCAGGTGTGTTTGGGCACAAATTCCCCTTTTCTTCGCCGTTGTTTTGAAACAGTGTCTCACTCACTACCACGGTTCAGGCTGGGTTCAAAATTGTGATCCTTTTGCCTGCCAAGTGCTGAGACGAAAGATGTGTGTCACCCTGCCCAGCTGAGAACTATTCTGTTGTTGCTTCTACAGGATTAGATGTGTTTTGTTTCTATTTCACTTATCTCTAAGTTTTAAATTATTGGCCACTCAGGAACATATTGCTTGATTTCTGCACATTTGAAAGTTCTTTTTACAATTCTCAAATTTTATACCATTGTGGTCAGAAGATAGACTTGAAATGAGTTAAATCTCCTGAAATGTGTCCACTGCCTTTTGGTCCCACACTGCTCCATTCTGGAGAATATTTCATGTACTCTTAGGAAGAACATGTGTTTTGCTGCTTTGGTGGAATGTTCTACGAATGTCTGTTACATAGTGTTAGAGTACAGTTTATATCTGTCATTTCTCTGTTGATTTTATGTATGGATACCATTTCCATTGCTGATAGGTTTCTATTACTGTGATGAAACACCTCTACCAAAATCAACTTGGAGAGGAAAAGAGTTTATTTCACATTATAGCTTACAACCTTCATGAAGAAAAGTCAGGGTAAGAACTCAGGACAGAAACCTGGAGACAGGAACTTGAGCAGAGGCCATGGAAGAATGTTACTCACTAGCTCTCCCTAGCTCACTCCCCATGGTTTGCTCAGTGTGCTTTCTTATACACTCCAGGACCCCCTGCCCAGAGACAGCACCACCCATTGTGGACCCGGCCCTTCTACATCAGTCATCAGTCAAGAAAACACCCTCACAGGCTTGCCTACAGGCCAGTCTGATGGGACATTTTCTCATTTGAGGTTCCCTCTTCTCAGATGACCCAAGATTGTGTCAAGTTGGAAAAGAAATGGACCAGTACATGCAGTGTTCCAAAATGTGTCTTCCTCCACATCTCCCATTTCTTGTGTGTACTTGGATACTCTAACATTGAGTGATACATATTTACCATTGTTACATTAATTTATCATTGTTACATTCTCTACTCTTAATGAATTGACACCTTTATAGTTACATGATGACCTTTTCCCAGTCTTTCAATAAAGCATGTGTAAAATGTAAAGTCTGATTCATCAGATATAAGTCTCAAACTCAGTTTTGGTTCTCATTTGCATGGAATATCTTTTTTCATGCCTTCACCTTTAGTTTATGTGTCTTTTCAAGCAAAATCAGTCTCTTCAGACAATCTAGAATTGGTCCTGTAGTCAGTGCATTTAGCTGATTTTGTTTCTTTTAGGTAGAGGTTACTGTTCCCCTCGGGACTTACCAGGCCTTTTGTGTGCACAGTTTTCTAATCCCTGTGTGTAGCCTTTCTTCCTGTCTTCCTCTTTTGCCTCCTGTCTCTGTGGTTTTGTGGCCTGGAGAAGTGCTAAGCTGTTTCCTCTCTCATTTGTTTCTCTGTTGTAATTACTGTGTTTCTACTAAGCAACTCACATTTGAAGATCTTGTAGTTGTAGTATAACCTGGTCAGAGCTTAGCTTCGGCTGCATTCAAATAGCCTAGAATTTTCCACATACAAACCATTATATGTGGCAGTTTACATTTTTTTATATGTGTATTACTACACATATTATGTCTATAATTAATTATTGGGCATTTTGACTTTTATTCTTCATACTAGAAATTTGAAAGCTTTACATACTGCCATTATGGTAATATGATTTGTGAGTGTTCTGAATTTGATTATGAATTTATCCCACTGTCTCTATTAAACTGAGATGTTTTGGCAAATGTTAACTATTCGCTGACATCAAGGCATTCTACAATTCCTATTTAATGTCATTGGTGTGTTTCTTAATACTTCGTTGCCAGTCTTTTAATTGTCATACATTTATTTTTATTTTTTTAATTCTTACTTAAAAATTTGGGGGAATTTTCAAAGAAATGAACAAAGAAGTCCTATATACCTTCTGTCCACCCCCTGAGTATCAAATAGTATTTGATATGACTATAGTGCACGTCAAATCCAGGATACTGCTACAGATGCAACTGTTAGATCCATGGCCTTCCATGTTCCCCTCTAGAGGACCCCAGGGATCTGGGAACACACCTGCA